CCTCATGGGGGCTTCCTGGAGGCCTCTTGGGAGCTTCTTTGGGCCTCTTGGGGACGTCTTCGGGGCCTCTCCCCCCTCCCTCCTTTTCATATTCCCTCCCCATATCCCCTTCCAGCGCCAGCTCTAATCATGGGCGCCGCCGTGACCAACTTCCACCTGGCTGGCGCTGCGCCGCACTTCGCCCAGGGGGGAACAATGACAGTACACTCCAGTCGCTGCGTGGGCCTTGGGGGGCTTCTATGGGGCCTTTTGGAGGTTTCTTGGAGACTTCTTGGAGGCCTCTTGGGAGCGTCTTGGGGCCCCTTGGGAGCCTCTTGGGGCCTCTCGGGATCGTCCTGGGCCGTCTTGGGGCGTTTTTCTGCCGTTTCGCCCCTTCGGAGGCCGTCTTGGGGGCCTCTCGCGGCCGCCTTGGGGCCCTCTTGGGGTCCTCTTGGGCCGTCTTAGGGGCCCCTTGGACCGTTTTGGGGGCCTCTTCGGGCCGTTTTGGGGCCCTCTTGGGCCGTCTTGGGGCCCTCTTGGGGGCTTTTGGGGTTGTTTTGGGGCGATGTTGGAAGCTGTTTGGGCCGCAAAGGCGAGAACGCTGAAATATCGCCAACACCATTGGAAAATCAATGATTTCGGCCTCTGAAGGCGCAGTCGGGGGCGCTCTTGGGGCCCTCTTCGGCCGTCATTGGGTTTTTGTTGGGCCCTCTTGGACCCATCTTTGAGCCGTTGTGGCGCCCTCGTGGCCCCCCAACGAGGCCCAGGAGGTCGAAATCATAGATTTTCTATAGGTTTTGGTCAGTTTTTGAGCCCCGGGAGGGGGTGGCCATCTTGGGTCGACGGATGTGGCGTAGCCCCTGGGGGGGGGTTAGGGGGGAGACATAATAATGCAACACAATACAATATGTTGCAAAACTGCAATTTTTGGATGCATTGGATACGTTGCAGTAAGGCGTTCGCCGGAAAACGCTGCCGCTCAGCACGTCACCTCCGGACGTGGATCCGCGGCATCCATGCGCCCCCGTTGCCGGGCCGATGTCTGTAACAAGAGGGAACGCGCGTAAGCCCCCGGCGACCGCCCCCACGAAAAAAAACACGAGAAGACGAGACGTGCAGGTTAGGCGTTGGCTGGTTTGCCCTGCTCGTCGGAACACTCGCAGTGAGTGAAGTCGTTGTTGGGCGCACTGGAAGCTTATCGGAGCCCTCGAGGAGGCTCCTTGGTGGCCTTTTTCGGGGCTTCTGAGGGACCGTCAAGTGGCCGCTCAGCCCAATCGTTGTGGGGCCTTTTGTGAGCTTCTTGGGGGCCTCCTGGGGGCCTCTTGGGCGCTATTCGGGGGCTTTTAATGGGGCCTCTTGGGACCTCTTGGGGGCGTCTTGAGCCGTCTTGGGGCGCTTTTGCGCCGTTTCGCCACTTCGGACGCCGCCTTGGGGGGCTCTCGCGGACGCTTTGGGGCAATCTTGGGGTCTTCTTGAGCTGTCTTGGGAGCCTCTTCGACCGTCTTGGGGGCCTCTTTGGGCCGTCTTGGAGTCCTCTTGGGTTGTATTGGGGCCCTCTCGGGGACTTCTTGGGCAGTTCTGGGACGATCTTGGAGGCTGCTTGGGTCGCCCTGGGCCTGCGAGAATCGAAATAAGCGAGAACACAAAAATCTTCCAACCCCGATGGGATATCGATGATTTTGGCCGCTGGAGGCACTCCTGCGGGTCCTCTTGGGGCCCTCTTTGGCCGTCTTGGGTTTTTTGTTTGCCCTCTTGGGGCCATCTTGGGCCGTCCTGGGGCCGTTTTGGGCCTTCTTGGGGGCATCTGGAGCCCTTCTGAGGCCTTGATGGACCCCCAACAGGGCCAACAGGCCCAAATCATGGATTTCCCATACGTTTTGGTGCGTTTTGGGGCCCCAAACGGGGCGCCGCCACTTTGGTACGGCGCTGTGGCGCAACTCCAGGGGGGGCTAGGGGGAGACATGATATTGCAAAACAGTACAACATGCAACAATTATGCAATGATTAGATACCTTGGACGCGCTGCATTGCAGCATCCGCGGACCTGCCTGCGGCAACGCGTCACTTCCAGACGTGGATTCCTTTCGCTTCGCGGGGTACACGTCCGGAGTACGTGCAGTCAAGTCGGTTTGGGGGTTCTCGGGAGTCTCGTGGGGGCGTCTTGTGCCCTTTGGAGGTTTCTTGGGGATTTCTTGGAGGCCTCTTGGGGATTTCTTGCGGCCCCTTGGGGCATCTGGGGGGCCTCTTGGGGGCGCCTTGGGCCGTCTTGGGGCGCTTGCGCGCGGCTTCGCCCCTTCGGAGGCTGTCTTCGGGGCCTTTCGCGGTCGCCCTGGGACTCTCTTCGGGTTCTTTTGGGCTGTTTGTGGGGCCTCTTGGACCGCCTTGGGGACCTATTTGGGCCGTCTTGGGGCCCCTTGGGCCGTTTTTGGGCCATCTTGGGAGCTTTTTGGGCAGTCTTGGGGCGATTTGGGAGGCTTCTTGGGCCGTCATGGGCCTTTGAGAGTCGAGAAAGGCGAGAACGCTAAGATCGTCAAAAATCATAGGACAATCAATGATTTCGGCATCTGGAGGCGCAGTTGTGGGCGCTCTTGGGGCCCTCTTGGCCCGTCCTCGGAGCTTTTCGGATTCTCTTGGGGCCATATTGGGCCGTCTTGGGGCCGTCTTGGCCCGCGCAGAGGCCATCTTGAGCCGTCTTGAGGCCCTCGTGGGCCCCCCAAAGGGCCAAAAGTCCAGAATCGATGTTCCATCGGTTCTTGTAGGTCTTCAGACCCAGAAAGGGGTCCACCACTTTTGGGTCGACGGATGTGGCGTGACCCCTGGGGGGTAGGGGGGGGACATAATAGGGTAACACAATACAACGTGTAACACTTATGCAACAATTTGATGATACACTGGTTACGTTGCACTATCGCCTCCGCAGAAAACGCTGCCGCTCAGCACTTTGGCCCTCTTGGGGCCATCCTGTACCGTCTTGGTCACGTCGTCGCGGGGCCTATTGGGAGCCTCTTGGGGGCCTCCTGGAGGCCTCTTGGGAGCTTCTTTGAGCCTCTTGGGGACGTTTTTGGGGCCTCTCCCCCCTCCCTCCTTTTCATACTCCTTCCCCATATCCCCTCCCAGCGCCAGCTCTAATCATGGGCGCCGCCGTGACCAACATTCACCTGGCTGGCGCTGCGCCGCACTTCGCCCAGGGAAATGACAGTACACTCCAGTCGCTGTGTGGGCTTTGGAGGCGCTACTCGGGGGGGGGGGGGTAGGGGCGTCTTGAGCCGTCTTGAGGCGCTTTTGCGCCATTTCGCCCCTTCGGATGCCGTCTTTGGGGGCTCTCGCGGATGTCTTGGGGCAATCTTGGGGTCTTCTTGAGTTGTCTTGGGAGCCTCTTCGACCGTCTTGGGGGCCTCCTTGGGCCGTCTTGGAATCCTTTTGGGCTGTATTGGGGCCCTCTCGGGGACTTCTTGGGCAGTTCTGGGACGATGTTGGAGGCTGCTTGGGTCGCCCTGGGCCTGTGAGAATCGAAATAAGCGAGAACACAAAAATCTTCAAACACCGATGGGATGATTTTGGCCGCTGGAGACACTCCTGGGGGTCCTCTTGGGGCCCTTTTGGGGGCGTCTTGGGAGTGTGTTTTTGGCCCTATTGGGGCCATCTTGGGCCCTGGGGCCGTCTTGGGCCGTCTTGGGGGCATCAGGAGCCCTCCTGAGGCCTTGCCAAATCATGGATTTCCCATACGTTTTGGTACGTTGTGGGGCCCCAAACGGGGGGCCGCCACTTTGGTACGGCGCTGTGGCGCGACTCCAAGGGGTGGGGGTAGGGGGGGGAACAAAACATTGCAAAACAATGCAATATGTAGCAATCATGCAATGATTAGATACATTGGATGCGTTTCATTACAGTATCCGCGGACCTGCCCCCGGCAACACGCCACGTGGATTCATTTGACTTACGCCACTCCGCCGATCCCAAAATGAGGTGAGAAGTCCATGCGGCCAACCAGGTTCGGGTAGGAACTACATTGGCCGCGTTCGGTGGTGTTCCGACTTATTATTGGGGCCTCGTGGGCGTGTTTGAACTCTCGGAATGTGTTTTGGGTACCTTGGAGGCGCAAGGGGGTGGATGTGGAGGTTGCGGGGGCCCCAGAGATGTGTTGACGAGTTCCCGGGGGGCCCCAGGGACGGGGCAAAAGGAGACGGAGTCACCACATATTTCACACGCCTTCTCAGCCCTCCTGCAATCGGGGGTCGGCGGATGCTTCGGAACCCGCCTGGAGGATCGAAGGCCCTCCGAGTCTGGAGGAAGGGGAACGGGGAACCTCCAGGATGGGAGTGGAAAGATGGTCGGTCACACGCAGACGGGGGGGGGTATGGGGGAGGGGAGAAAGCTTCTTGGGGGCACCCTTGCGTTTCAGAAGGCGCGGGCCTTCTCTATAGATGCAGGGCCAGCGCCTTCTAAGAAGCAGCTTCCTTCTAAGAAGCCGTCCCCGCTCCCCTTAATCCCCCTCTGCGCGCCGCCAAGAGGAGACCAGGGATGGGGGCCGAGCCTCCCGTTTGGACTGAGCGTGTTCTTATCGGGATTCTGGCAAGTCCGCTTGCATGCCATCCCCCCCCCTTCCTCGCCGCCTTTCCAAACAGCGCTGGGCCGAAAAGGCGGACTCGTGTGAAGTTCAGATGTCCGTTCGGGCCTGCCCCCCCCCCCCCCTCCTCACTCTAAAGGAAGCGTCATCACTCAGAAGGCTTCCGATCCCCTGCTGGTCGGCTGCCGAGCTGAGGGCCGTAACTCGTAACATTATCGCCGCGCGTTGCCGCAGTTGGATGGTTTCTCGGCGCGCCCCGGGGTGGACGCGTCTCTTGGCCCCCGCTTCACGGGCTCTGCGTTGGCCTCGTCCTCCTCCTCCTCCTCCTCCTCCTCCTCCTCCTTCTCCTCCCTCTTTCACGCCCCCTCCGCTGCGCACTGCGGTGACAAGCTCCAGAGGTGCAGGCTTGTCTCAGACAAAGCACCATCAGGGGGCTTCCGCTCCCCTGGGCGAGGACCACGTCCACCGCATCGGGCGCACGGGCCGCGCCGGCGTGCCCGGCGTCGCGGTCACCTTCCTGGACCGCTCGGAGGGCAAGCAGGCGTACGAGGCGCCTCGCTGCCCGCGCGGCGTGCCCGTACCCGCACGCGTTGCCCGTAGGGCGGCTGGAGCGTGCCGCCGGCCTCGGGCCTCGCTGGCTGCCGCCACACCAGGGGCCCAGTGCTCACATTCGGCTGCTGGCGCTCCTCCGGCTCACATTCGGCTGCTGGCGCTCCTCCGGCTCCGCCTCCTGCTCCCGCATCCCTCCACGAGCTCAAACGCAAGCTTTTTCCCGCGACGTGGCGGCGCCCCCACACCTCAGTTTGAATGCTCGCGCCGAAGCTGGCGGCTGCAATTGTTCCTCGGGCCCCGCGGGCCGCGTTGCGCGCGTCGCTGAAAATTGAAGTTGGGAGGCGAGGTTGTTGGATAAAAGCGTGCGTTTGATTTCGCGGAGTGTTGCGCGGCCCTGTTCAGCCCTGCCTGCGCCCTGCCGTCTTAGGCTGCGAGGTCGCGCGAGCTCTGTGGAGTTCCCTTCTCGTCAGTTGGGAAGCTGGGAGGCCCTGTCCCTGGTGGTGGCGGAGGTGGTTCCGCTGCGCCATCCGCCGCGGGGGTGGCGCCCGTGCAAGTAACTATCCCGGTGCGCACGCGACGGGGATCGGCGCGGTGGCGGAGGTGGTTCCGCTGCGCCATCCGCCCCGGGGGGCGGGGGAGGGGGGGGGGCCGTGCAAATGTCCCGGTGCGCACGCGACGGGGATCGGCGCGGTGTCCGGGGTCGGCCCGTCCCCTGCGGATGTTTTTTTTTCTGTTTTGCTCGGGGTCCTGAGTGTTGTCCTTCGTCTGTGCCTCGTCGAGAGCAAAGCCAGATGGAGGGAGGCAGCAGGAGTCGGTCCTGACAGGGGTCCGCGGATCCCCCCTCTGGCTGACCCAGATTTGGGCGCCACGTGGGGCCGAGACCCCCCCTCTTTCTCCTCCTCGGGCCAGACGAGGGGGGGGGATAGGGAGAAAGGGGTTGCGAAATCTGCTGCGTGCGGCTGGTTCCGGGGCGCCTTTCTCGATTCGTGCCTTCGGCGCCAGGAGGCGACGGGAAAACCAGCCACGTGAGCCGAGTCGCTGAGGCCCTGTTGCTATCTCCCCCGTTCGTTCTCCAAGCCCGGGTCTGGGAGCTGCCTCGTGGCCAGCCAGGCTACGGCCCTGGCTGACCTGGGGCCAGCGCGCCCCCGACACCCGACAGGCCAAAGCCGAGCCCCAGCGCGAAACGGCCCTCCCCTCCGAGCCCACTCTCGGCTCTGGGGGTCAGATGCGCGCCCCGTCGCCCTGTCATCGCCACTGGCCCCGCATGGGGATGAGCAGGAGAAGGGGGAGCAGGAGCACGTCCCGGTGGACGAGGAAAAGTACAGCAAACCTACGAACTCGAGAACCCCCCTGGAGTTCCTCCGAAAAAAAGTCCCCCGACTTCGAAGGAGCAGGCCCCTGATGGCATCAGGGGCCTGCTCCTTCGAAGTTGCATCAGGCTGATGCTTCCCACTCTGGGCGCCAGCGAGGGGGCAGGGCATGTATTAAAGAAGCGCGGTTTCCAAAGGCCGGATCTCTTTTGCCCAGGCTGACGGCCAGAGGGGGGGGAGGGGGCGGTTCTCAGTGCGTGCTAAATGCTTTGCGGGCGGCGGTTTCACGGGTGAACATGTTTTTCCAAGGCAAGCGTCGACGAAACGCGTTCTCAAATATCCAGTTGCTTGGGGCAAACCCCGCCCGCTCGTAAAGTTCTAGGGCCAGCAGGAGTACAGGAGTACAAGTGGCATACGAAAGAAGAAGCTGACCGACCAGCAGGTGCCCCACAGAGGTTTCGCTTACCCCCCGATGGCCCTGGGGACCCATAGGAACCTCGGGGTCACCTCAGGACGCTCAGCGCTCGACGACAAACATGCCCGTAGATTTCTCACAGCTAGACTCCTTGTGCAGCCAGAGATGTCGGCGGCAGCGCCCAGGCGGGTTCGCCACGCGGTTCGCCCCCCCTCCCTTCCCCCTCCCCCTCCCCTCCCCCCCTTGGGTGCCCGAGCTACGGCCTGGCAGCCGGGGGGTGTGGGCACGAGCGGGGCCGCTAGATGCTCCGGAAATCCTGGGGCGCACCCTGGGCCGATCCTATCATGGCACCATTCGCACCCTGATCAGGGGAGGGGGGCCGAAGGCCGAGGCCTGCTGGGGCCCGCGTGCCGGGAGAAGTCGGAGGCAGCGGCGTGGCGCCGGGGTTCCAGGCTGCAGTGCGGCCCGGCGGAGCACCGCAAGTCTCGCCCGGGCCCGGGGGACGCCGACGGCGGTGAAGAGGAAGCATGGCGGGCAGTGGAAGTGTGCATGATGGCATGGGTGACTGTGAGTGCGACGGTGGTGACTGCACCGGTTATGATAACGAGAATGGCCTCGTGGGTTCGGATGTGAACGAACACGACGGCGGTGGTACTTACGGCGATGGTGCCACTCATGATGGGGGCCATGATGATGACGACGACGGTGACGATGATGGTGGGGGTGATTGTGATGGCGATGGCCATGGCGATGGTGATGATGACGATGCCCAGTTGTGGCTGCGGTTGCGGGGGACCGCGGTCAAAAAAATGTGTTGCCCAGCCGTGGTTGCGGATGCGGGTGCGGACGCCCGTGGCCCAAAGTGGGCTGCCTGGTTGAAGGTGCGGGTGCGGCTACACGCGGCCCGAAACGAGGAGTGCCAATCGCATGCGGTCGCGGGTGCCCAGCCAAAGTGCTTCGCTCTGCTGCTTTCGCAGGTGCGGTTGCCAGTGCCCGCGGCCAAACTTGGGCTGCCCGGTTGCGGGCTGCGGGTGCGGTGCGGGCGCCCGCGGCCGCGGGTCCGTTGGTGTCCGTCGGTCCAGTCAGTCAGCGGGTTATTCAGTCTGGCTGGCACGGGATTTCACCCGGCTCCGCTGGGAACCATCGGAGATCTTGGAAGGATCCGCCGAGGTGGGGGCGTCTCTGATTACCCACAGCATGTGCGGGGCACGCGTCAAGCTGCACCGCCGAGTGCATCCGCCGCCGATCTTGGTCTTAGGGCAGTTACGTAATCGACAGCGGTGAGAAGCGCCCGCATGTTCCTGCGCGCAAATGGCTGTAGTGTTCGAAAACAGTGGGCTGCCACGGGAAAGCGGCGGTATAGGAACACAGTACGCGAACTACGGCGGAGGCGTTCGTTAAGGAATCGTCCCAGGAGGCGCCAGACCCTGGAGGATTCCTTATCTGATGAGGGCGTCGGTGATATCCATGGCCAGGGCTCGATTGGAGTTCTAACGGCCTCCAGACCCTGGATTCCTTATCCAATGCTTCCTTGTCCAATGCCCTCACCGTAGTATTCCACACCAACAGCGCAAAAGGTTTGGATAATGGCCGCGAGAGTGGACGGCTTGCAGTGAAGAAGATGCACGCACACGGCGACAGGTTCGGCACGCTCCTTCCCCGCTCATGCACTGCCAAACCAGCAGAGAGAAGTCCAGATCCGTCCCGCGCACAGCGCGACATGTCGCAGCCACGTCTCTGTACAGTTTGGCTGGGACGTCCTTGGTTCAAACATGGCGCGGGGCGCGGGCGGATCAAAGCGGTACGCCTAGGAGTTCATTGCTTCGAACCGTCGAGTTTCCTGCCTCCATCGCCCCAAGGATGCCAGCATCATTGCGAGCACTCTTAGTACACAGTCTCGCTCAGCGCTCCGGAGTGGAGATGGTTGGACGAGACTCGGATTCTTCACCAATTTTGGCGTAGACATTTACAATTTCACCGTGTATAGCAACGATCGAAATGACGACACCCGTCAACTCAAGATTCAGCCATTTTTGTGACGAGTTGGATTTGCAATCACACTCAGAATGAATTGGAGGGCTCTTCTTGTACATCCACATTAGCTGAAAGCGCGTCCCGATGATTTTGTTCAGTCGTGCTGGAGTTGTACCAGGTCATCTCTCAGCGCCAGGCCCCACATGGTACCTTCCAGTTCCCCCCATTTTCACCAGTCAGTCGGCCTTATCTTGCAGCGCCCTCGCGGCGTTCCACTCAATTCGCGTGCGCATTCGCACCATAAACGGCCGCTCAAGAGCATGTAGCCTGGAGAGTTAGTCGTTCACCAGCTCATCTCCGCCTTCACGGACCTATTGTTTCCTCGGGGCCGCATTGCGAGACCCAAGGCTGCTCAGAGGACCAGTTTGCCCGTTTCTTCGATCCTGCTCCAGAAACCGTGGGAATGTCCGCGTCGACTTGTCTGGAGAAGGAATGTGTACTGTCGAGAGCTTCCGCCTGCGAAGCAGTGTCGAGGTGTCATCTCCTGGAAGGCGAAGCCCATGTCTCACCGCCCACCAAACCACCCCAACCCAACCCGAAGGCCCCGATTTGCCCTCGGGGGGGGGGGGTCGGGGAACATTGAAGAAAACATCTGGAGCCCGTGCCCTCCCCCAACCCGACATTCAGGTCGTCGGGTTGGGTTGGGGTTGTCTGATAGGTTGTCAATGTTTGAGCGCCCTTGATGGAGGCAGTATCTCAGGCCTCGCCGCTGGGTCTCACCGATCTTGGGCCAGAGTCTGGGGCCCAGGGCCACTCCGCCGCGGGAGACCCGGGAGGGGGCCGGATCGTGCTGTCGTAGAGCATACGGAGCTCGTGCATACGGAGCGGGGTCGTTTCACGGCGCGCTCGCTGCTCGTCGCAGAGTTCCCCAGAGGCCGCCAAAAAGTCCCAGCCAGAGGCCCGCAGAGGCCCGAACATGCTTTGTGGACTGAGTCGTCAAATTTCGAGGATTGAGGAGGAGGAGGAGGAGGCGGAGGACCAGGGTAAACCTAGGATGCATCAACGATGCTGCAACACATGAACCCATTCCAAGTCTACTCCTCGTCAGTCCCTGCACCTATGTCTTTTCACTACTGGGAGGCCCCCCTTGAAAGACGAGTACCCCATGGGCGTGGGCGTGCCATGCGGGCGGGAGTCTTGCATTTCTGATGGTGGAAAACTATACATGCCCCCTCCTTGTAATCGGTAGGCACGTCAAAGTGTAGGAGCAGAAAGGCTAGGATAGAGGAAGACGGTGCTACGTTTGGCAGTAAAGGAGACAAAGGAGGATAGTGATAGGCTGGGTCGCTTCTTCGAGGATGTTCAGGCGCACCTTGCGAGGGTTACGCGTGATGCTGGTCGGGTGTTTGCGGGGCTGCTGCTTCGGAGTCTTTGCCAGGCTGTTGCTCGTGTGGGTGTGTGTGTGTGTGTTGCTGGGCTTCTGGTTTGTCGTTTGCGGGGTTGTTGGTTGGGTGTTTGCGGGGGGGGGCCTTGTGAGGAGTGGGCTGCTTAAGTGTAGCGCCGCTCCAGGGACTTACCCCCGGGCGTCGTCCGAAAACACAGACACCTCGCGCTCCTCTGTGCTCGAGAACCGGGGGCATAACTTAGTAGTCTTGGATGGTCGAGCCATGAGGGAAGCGCGCTCGCGCCTTTTCGCCCGCGAGGTGATGCAGAGCATGCGGAAGGTGGGCCAGGAGATCCCAGACGACCTCCGGCAGTTGGCAGACCGGGCGGGGCCGCCCCCACCACTCGACAAAGACGAGCGACGACGACGACGACGAACGACCACGAGCGACGACCACCACAACGACGACCACCACGACTACAGACGACGGCCGACGAGTGCGCTGAACGACAAACGACCAACGACGAACGACCAAAGACCAACGGGCAACGAAGAAGGCATACGACGACGGACGACGACGACGGACGACGACGGACGACGACGGCGACGACCAGATTCGTGATAAGGTCGCGGAGGAAAATCTGCCACCAGCAGAGAGCGATACGAACCCACCTCAAAAAATGTACTGGCGCCACGGGTGAGGTGGACGAGGGGGGCGAGGAGAGAGGGAGAAAGAAGCACATATTGTTCAGTGGCGCATCTACTTGCCAAGATGCGAGAGCGGTTCTTCAAAGCGTTCTGGCTCATATATATATATATATATATATATATATATATATTTGACAAAGTTTGCTGATTAATGTTATGCAGAAGACCGTGGCACGCCGTCTCCGTTCCATAGTTTTTTCCTGGCTCGAGCCCCCTCCGCGGGGCGGAGGGGAAACGGGCCGGGGGGCCCTTGTATGCTGGCGCAGCTTGCCCAGGCTGCCGTGCTGGGGGTGGCCAACCTGGGCGGTGCGTGGCTGGGGAAGTGCCAGCCGCCGCCCTGCCCGGCGGCGCCGCCGTGCCCGGCGGCGGCAGCCTGCCGTGCCCGCCGGCGCCGGCGCTTACGTGCCCGCAGGTGAGCGTCACCTGCCCGGCGCCGGCCGCGGAGGCCCTCGCCTGCCCTGAGGCGCCGCCGCCGCCACCGTGCCCGCCGGCCCCCGCGTGCCCGCCAGGCGACGCGGCGAGGGCGGGCGCGCCCGAGGCGGAGAGCCGGCACGTCTGCTGGCCGGAGGCGAGCGTGGCGCTGAGCTTCGTGTGCGGGCTGGGCGGGCTGGCGGTGCTGGTCGGGTTCGTGCTGGGTACGTGCTGCGCCAGGCGCCATGCGGCTTCAGCGCAATCCTCGGGGTACCTTGCACCTGGCCGCCCGCAGCCGCCTGGTGATCTTCGGGGCCCCCGAGTGGCACTGGGCAGTGTTGCTCGCCGGACTGGTGTCCTCGGCCTTCCGGGCCCCGGTACTGACGCTGTATGGTGACATGTGCATCGAGGGCTGCGGTGATGCCGAGGCAGTGCGATGGTTGGGGCCGAGCAACGAGGTGCCGAAGAGAGTCCCTCGGCAGCTGATCTACCACTTGGGGCAGAGCGTGGGGCACCCTGGTGGGAGCGTCCGCCGCGGGGACGACGTGGCCTTCCACGGCTCCGAGCTGTTGACGGGCCGCAAGGGGGTCAACGTGCTGATGAAGAAGCCCGAGCTGATCGAGGACATCGGCGCTGGCAACGTCGAGGCCTATAGGTCGGAGGAGGCCCACCATGATACCCGAATGCTGAAGATGCAGAGGGACTCGCGAGGTGCTTGCCGCCGGCCAAGGCGGGACGTGGCGTGCGACGTGAACGTGGCGGAGCAGCAGGACCGACCAGTGCCTGGATCTCCGACGGCGGACTGGTGCCCGCAGGCCCCCGCCCACCGCAGCGAGGGCCCCGTCGGCGGGGATCGCCGCGGCGAGGCGGACAGCCGGCTCAGCCTGGACCAGTGGGGCGTCACGGGGCACGAGACCGTAACCAAGATCCTGGAGCGCCGAGGCACCCACGACCAGTGCGACGCGGTGAACCGGGCGGGCGGCGAGGACATCCTGAGTCGGACGCGGCTCAATGAGTGCTTCTACTACGAGGTGGGCCGGGAGGCGGAGACCGGCAAGTGGCAGGACGAGAGGGGCGGCAGGGCCGCTCGCGTAGAGGAGATGGCGATCTTCCGCAGGAAGCACCGCGAGTACGGAGAGGCGAAGACGGCTTCGGAGCTCCTGTCGCGCGTGGTGGCCGAGCTGGGGCGGGACTCTGGCATCGTGGAGCAGATGAGGACAGCCCGCGAGGGGAGGCATCTCGCGGGCAGGCATGACCAGTGAGCGGGGCCGCCGCGGGAGCCCCCGATCCCGCGGCGAGTACGCAGGGGGGTCGCCGGACATGAGCCCCGGCGGGGCCTATGTACGTGGCTCACATGAGGGGAGAGTTGTCAACCGTGATCTCCTTCCTCTACCTCACTACCGCCTGCCGAGCTTGGACGGCGGCGAGGGCGGCCAGCCAAAGTCTCGCCGGGGGCAGCGCCGTCGGGGAGAGCGAGCTCATTGCGAAGACTGGGCTCGCTGCTGTGCCACCACGCTGAACGAGCTCGACCGCGGGTCTGCCGACCCGCAGCCGCTGGGCCTGCGGGCTAGTGCCGGGCAGGAGCGCAGCCTGAGTATGATCCAGGCCGCGGTAGCCGAGCTAGGCCGTCCGCCCACCGACCTGACGCGCCAGGGATCCCTCGCGGAGCTCCTGGCCAAACGCAGCTACACCGGCGAGAAGGTGTCTGTCGCTCGGCTCGACATCTCCCTCTTGTCCCTGCCTTCAGGCGGGGGCGGTCCTCGGGCACTCTCAACGCTGCTCGGAGACGAGGGTCCAATGGTAGTCGGAGCCTTTTTGAAAGACAAAGTCTTGCCTCCATCGGAGGCGGCGGCGCGGGTGGCCGAGTCGGCCTTGAAGCGCCCATGCTATGACCCTTCGCTGCAGGGTAGGCCGCGCAGGTACGCGCGCCTCCTAGCGGCCCTTGACGGCGCAGGCATGCTCGAGTGGAGGCGGCATGGGTCGCCCCGAGTAGGCCTGTTCACTGTGTGGAAAAAGAAGGGCAAGCAGAGATTGATTGTGGACGCTCGTCTGTCTAACCTGTGTTTCGCTCAGCCTGACCCTGTGGACCTCGCCACGGGCGGATCTTTTGCCTCTCTCGAGGTCGACCCCGGACCCCCGGCGTGCCTGGCGCAGGTCGACATCCAAGATGCTTTTTTACCATCTCCCCCTCCCGAGCTTGTGTCTCTCTTCTGCCTCCGACCCGTCACGGCGGGACTCGCTGGAGTTGGCGAGCTCGACGGAGCTCCTGTCTCGCCCTCCCAGCTGGTGTACCCACACTTGCGTGTTGTGCCTATGGGGTGGAACCATGCCCTGCGGTGGTGCCAGCGAACTCACGAGTATCATGCCTTTCGGCAGCCCGGCGTGACCCCTGCCAACAAGCTCTCGGATAAGAAGCCGGGAGTTCGCCTTGACCGCTCGGGGTTTGCTCACACTGAATACGTTGACAACTTCGCCGCCATTGGTCGCCAGGCCGCAGAGGTCGACGCCGTGGCCGATTCTGTGCACGAAGCCCTGTCAGCCGCGGGGCTCAGGATGCATCCTCGTCTTGGGATGGGATGGGATGGGATGGGATGGGACTGGTGGCTCTTTCTTGGGATGGGATTTTAGCGATGAATGCCCCTTGGTTCGCGTGAGCCCTCGTAGAGTGTGGAGGCTCCGTCTCGGGATCGAGGGCCTCTTGGAGAGGGGCTTCGCTACCGGTAGGGACCTCGAGGCCATCATCGGACATTTCACTTTCGCCGCTCGCATTCGGCCTGAGGTCTCTGTGCGTTTTCGGCAGCGTACGCCTTCGCTGAGCGGGGGGCCGACATTCGTCGTAAGTTGTGGACTGCCGTGCGGAGAGAGCTTCGCTGGGCAATAGGTCTCCTCCCCCTCCTCCGTCGTCGCCTCGATGCCGAGTGGAGCCCAAAGGTGCGGTGTACAGACGCCTCCCCCTGGGGCCGGGGCGTCTGCTTGGCGGAGCGCGATCTCCTGTCCATCGCGGAGGCTGGCTGGTGGTCGGACCGGTGGCGTTTCTCGCGAGGGGCTGAGGATCGGGTTCGGCCGAGGGACGCCTCGCTCCGGGAGGAGCTCAACATGGCCGCGGCGGCCGGTCTGGATGACCTGGGCCGTGTCGGGACGGCCCCGCACCTGGATGGCCTCGGCGAGGCTGACCGGAGTGGGGTTGTCCCGGAGATCGGACCGAAGATCCTTCAGCGGCCCTGGACCACCGTCTCGGCCGGCCGCTGGAGGCGTCGGGAGGCGATGCCCGTCTTGGAGGGGCGCGCTCTGGTCTGGGGGGTCCGTCACGTGAACAGGGGCTTAAGTGAGTTTGGCAAGCGAGTCCTGTTCCTGACCGACGGGCTGTCCGAGGTGCTGGCCCTCGAGAAAGGCCGATCGTCTAGCGTGGCCTTAATCAGAGTGTGCAGGCAGTGGGCGGCGACGGTGTTTGCGGCCGATCTGTATCCTCGTGCGCGGTGGATTCGGTCTGAGTTGAACGTGGCCGATGAGCCCTCTCGGCGCTACCAGCCGAAGCCATTTGGGCTGAAACCACCAGGCTTTCGGCCTCCGCCAGGGCTGACAGAGCCGGATTTCGAGCGGGCTCCCTCGCCCGTGCGGAGGTGCCCTGAGCCTGCCGGCGCCTCGGGACGCGCCCCTCCCGTCGGGCAGCCCGTTCCGACCGGGGGGGCCAGCGCAGCGGTGGGCGGGGCCAGCCGCGCCGCCGACCCTGGCGCGCGCGGCGCCGCAGCCGCCGGCGCCGCGCGCGTGCCCTGCGAGGCGGGCCCAGGCGACGACGACGGCCCGACGGGCCAAGTCGCGGCCGGAGGTGCAGGCCGCCAGGGGGGAGCGAGCCGCCGCACGACCGGGAGGTTGCCCCAAGGACAGGCACGTGGCGGACAGCGAGGGCCTCTCGGTGGCAGAGAGGGAGAACGCGGAGGACCTCTACCAGCGGGTCTACCACGCCCCCCTCGCCGAGTTCAGGAGCTTCGCCGCGACCCAGGGCCTCCGCCTCGGGACCGCCGCGGACTACGACGGAGCGGCCCTGGAGCGGGCCCATCAAGCGCTCTTCGACAGCGGCGGCGTGCAGGAGGGGTCCAGGCTGAAGGCGGTGCTGCACCACTACCACCCGCGGCTGCTGGTCGCGAAGGGACTGCCCGGGTTTGCCCGAGCCCTGAGGGGGTGGAGGCGGCTCGTGCCGCCTCGAAGCCGACTCCCGCTCCTGTGGGAGGTCGCGCGCGCGGAGGCGAGCAGGCTGGCGGCCAACCCGTGCGCCGCGCGTCTCGTCGCCGTGATGTTCGTCTTCTGCCTCCAGCTTGTGGAGCTGACGTCGCCAGCCGGACGGCAGGTGGTGCCGCCAAGCCGGGCGGCTGGGCACGACGCGTGGCCGCTCGTGCTGTTCCCGATGGAGAAGAAAACGCCTAGCATAAGCGGCACCTGCAACGCGAGCATCGTAGGCGACCTGCCGTTCTACCGCTTCATCGGGAACATGCTGAAGCTGCCCAAGGCCAACGTCTGCGGGGGGGAGCTGGTGGCGCGGGCGCAGTACATGCTGCTGGTGCAGGCGTGCCAAGCAGCAGGCCAGCAGCTCAGGTTCGGGGGCCCGCCAGGCCTCTACCAGCTGCGAGACGGCGGGGCGCCCGCCGACCTCGCCCGCGGCCGCCAGAGCTCGGCAGAGGTGCCAGCTCGCGGGCGCTGTGCGACCGACAGCTCGGTGACAGAGTGCGGCAGGGGGGGGCGCATCGCCGACCAGCTGGCCAAGCTGCCGATGCCCTCCTTCGAGCACGCTGTCGGCTGCGCCCAGAAGATTGGCGGCGCCCTCTGCAAGCGCTGCCGGCCTTTGCCGCCCGCGCGGGCGGCGCCGTGGCGCTCGAAGTGTTCAGCGGCTCGGGCAACCTCAGTCGGGCCTGGCGGCGGCGGCAGCAAGCCCTAGGGTTTGCCGTCTTTGAGTGGGACCTCCGCTGGGGCGATGAGTATGACCTGACCCGCCGTCGCGTGCAGCGCATTGTGCGAGGATGGGTCAACAGTGGTCTGGTCGCCGCCGTGTGGATGGGGACCCCGTGCCACAGCTGGAGCCGCGCGCGGGACATCCGACTTGGGCCCCCGCCACTGCGTAGTGATGTACATGCGATGGGCCTGCCTGACCTGGCGCCTCGGGATGCTGAGAAGGTCAGGGTCGGCAATGCTTTAATGAAATTTTCGGCCTCGCTATTCGCCTTGTGCCAGGCCGTGCGAGTGCCGGTCGCCATCGAGAATCCTCACTTGTCTAGAATATGGCTGACGCCACAGTTCAGGGGTCTGCTGAGAAAATGCCGCACGGTCGTGTTAGACTTTTGCCAATTCGGCCAATCGTGCCGGAAACGCACCCGCATTGTGTACGATCATGTTGATTTGCAGCCTCTCAGCCGTCTTTGCAACGGCCCCCGCGGGATCTGCTCTCGCACAGGTCGCCCGCACGACCAGCTTCAAGGAAAGAATTCTGACTGCATTTTTCTCACGCTTTTGACCGAGCCTTACCCAGCCGACCTCTGTGCCAGCATCGTTCGCTGCTTCCAGTTCGCGCTTGCAGAAAAACAAAGTCAGAGAGTACAGAAGTTGTGGTGCGGCTGATGCCAGGCGCGCTTTTGGAGTGAAGTTCCGCTCTGCGCAAAAAAGAGCTGGAGTTCGCTTCGCGTTTTGAGTTGGGTACTGTCCCGAGCTCGAGACCTTCTGATCTGTGATTGTAAAGTCGGGAGACTTGTCGACACCAGAGATAGCATCGCTTCGCACGTCTGGCGGGAAAAAGGGCCTGGGCGTTACATTTGACAAAGCTTGCTGATTAATGTTATGCAGCAGACCGTGACAAGCCGTCTCCGCTCCATAGTTTTTTTCCTGGCCAACCGTCAGCCCCACCGCCGCCCTCTCCTTTTAATATTACAGGAACGAAATGGGAGTTCGCTTCGCGTTTTGAGTTGGGTACTGTCCCGAGCTCGAGACCTTCTGATCTGTGATTGTAAAGTCGGGAGAATTGTCGACACCAGAGATAGCATCGCTTCGCACGTCTGGCGGGAAAAAGGGCCTGGGCGTTACATATATATATATATATATATATATATATATATATATATATATATTCACAGAGCCTAGCAGCAGAGGTGAGAGGGAAGACTCCTGGCACGAGCAGCGACGCAGCCAAGTTTATTGCTAATCTTAGCGAGAGAACCCCTGCACACACCATCCCAGACCTCCGATGGACTGATCGCTGTTGAATCCGCGGGCTTTAGAGGCCTCGACCCCTTCACGGGGGTGGCTTCCCATCCTATCCCAGGTCAAGTTCTGACGTTCTTGGGCCGTTCCCCCGAAAACTGTTCCTGGAGGCCGAAATCGGGAAGCAATTGCAGGATTGAGCCAGCTACATGTAATGAGCAGCCCTTCGCTAAAGTGACATTTGGTGCGTGGCTTTCTGGGGGCTGCGGCATCGCACCAATTGACCCGCAAGCCGCGCACCAAAGGTCACTCATGCCTGGGCCACTCTTGAGCGCAGCCGATTGAAACGCATCGGTCCGCTGGAGCTCTCGGCGGAGGTTCGGGCCTGAGATCTGCTCGCAGGTCTCGGGAGGTCCCGCCCGCGGAGATCACCGCAGACGCATCCGGAGGCCTCCGGAGGCCCAAGGACTCACAGGATCAAACACCTTCAAGCTGGAGGCTTTTTCGTGGCATTCTGAAGGCCGTTTCCCTCCAAAATGGATGGTGACCTCCAGGACGGACGATTCCGATCTTCTGAGAAGGGGCCAAAACGTCCAGAGACTTTTGATCCTCCATCCTCCATCCTCAATCCCAGACCCCCGATCTCGTGATTCGTTCACAACGTGGACCTCCAGAGGTCTTGACCATTCCCAGGCAGGGACCAGATGGTATTTGCTTGACAAGCCTGGGGCCCGAACACGAACGCTCCCCCAGAGGCCGACACTTGTAAAACACATTCCGGCTTGTTTTCCCCAACCATCCTGTGGTGTTGGGTCTTCGTTTTGAGAAAACAGCGCCCCGCGTCTCCTCCTCCTCGTCGGCTTCCTCCTCCTCTTCCTCCTCCTCCTCCTCATCATCATCATAATCATAATCACAATAATCGTCATCATTACTATCACCAGTATCATCAGCAGCATCAGCATCATCATCAGCATCATCATCAGTGTCATCATCATAATCACAATCAGCATCATCATCATCATCATCAGCAGCACCACCACCATCATCATCATCATCATCATCATCAACATCATCGTCATCGTAATCGTCATCGTCGTCATCATCAGCAGCATCGTCACCATCATCATATTCATCATCATCAGCATCGTCATCATTATGATCATCATCATCATCATCATCATCATCATCATCATCATCGTCATCGTCATCATCATCATCATCACCAGCATCATCATCATCATCATCATCATAACTATCAGCATCATCATCATCAGCATCATCATCATCATCATCATCAGCAGCAGCAGCATCATCATCATCATCCCTCCTCCCATCCCTGCCTCTGCCATCCGCATGTGTGTGCTTCGGCACACCCAGCACAGCGTTCCGTACCTCATAGGGAGCTCCACCGAAGGCCCCAGAGGCTGCACTCGCATGCGTCTCCCCCGCCCAGTACAGCGCTTCGTGGACCCATAGAGAGCTCCACCGAAGGCCCCAGTGGCTGTACTCGCATGCGTCTCCCCCGCCCATATCCGCCCATTACAGCGCTTCGTGGCCCCATAGGGAGCTCCACCGAAGGTCCCAGTGGCAAAGTCCACACGCGTCTCCCCCACCCAGTACAGCGCTTCGTGGCCCCATAGGGCCCCACCGAAGGCCACAGTAGCTGCACTCGCATGTGTCTCTTCCTCCCAGTACAGCGCTTCGTGGCCCCATAGGGAGTTCCGCTGAAGGCCCCAATGGCTGCATTCGCATGCGTCCCCCCCACCCAGTACAGGAAGGCCCCCGTTACTGCACTAGCATGGGTCTCCCCAATCCATTACAACGTTTCGTCGCCCATATGGGGGCCCCACCGAAGGCCCCAGTGGCAAAGTTCGCATGTGCCCCCCGCCCAGTACGGCGTTTCGTGGCCCATAGGGAACGCCACCGACGTCGATACCCACAACTGCGGTTTTCACAACTGCATTTGGTTGGGTCCTTCGCCAGGCTAATTCCCAACTGTTCTGTGGTGTTGGGTCCTCGCTTTGAAGGGACAACGCCCCGCGTCACCTCACCTCACGCCCTCCACCCCCTTCTACCTCCTCCCTCCTCCCCCTCACTTGACTCTGCCCTCGTCAGTATGCGTCTCCCCCTCCCAGTACAGCGGTTCGTGGCCCCATAGGGAGCTCCACCGAAGGCTTCAGCGGCTGCACTGCCCAGAGCAGCGCTTCGTGGCCCCATAGGGAGCTCCGCTGAAGGCCCCAATGGCTGCATTCGCATGCGTGTCCCCCGCCCAGAGCAGCGCTTCGTGGCCCCATAGGGAGCTCCACCGAAGGCCCCAGTGGCTGCACTCGCATGCGTCTCCTCCACCTAGTACAGCGCTTCGTGGCCTTCATCGGGAGATCCACCGACGGCCTCAATAGCACCGTCCGCGAGCGTCTCACCCACCCAGTTCGTGGCCCCATAGTGAGCCCCACCGAAGGCCCCAGTGGCTGCACTCGCATGCGTCGCCCCCGCCCAGTACAGCCCTCCGTGGCCCTATTGGGAGCTCCACCGAAGGCCCCAGTGTCTGCACTCGCATGCGCCTCCCCCGCCCATTACAGCGCTTCGTGGCCCCATAGGGAGCTCCACCGAAGGCCCCAGTGGCGGAGCTCGCATGCGTCACCCCCGCCCAGTACAGCGCTTCGTGGCTCCATAGGGATCTCCGCCGAAGGTCCCAATGGCTGCACTCGCATGCGTCTCCTCCGCCCAGTACAGCGTGTCGTGGCCCCAGAGGAAGCTCCACCGGAGGCGCCAGTGGCACCGTCCACATGCGTCTCCCTCACCGCGTTTCGAGGCCCCATGGGGAGCTCCACCCAAGGCTTCAATTGCACTGTTCGTATGCGTCTCCCCCACTCAGTACAGCGTTTCGTGGCCCCATATGGAGCTCCACCGGAGGCTTCAATGCCACCGTCCACATGCGTTTCCCCCACCCAGTACAGCGCTTCGTGGCCCCATAGGGAGCTCCACCGAATGCCCCAGTTGCAAAGTTCGCATGCGTCTCCCCCGCCCAGTACAGCGCTTCGTGGCCCCATAGGGAGCTCCACCGAAGGCCCGAGTGGCTGCACTCGCATGCGCCTCCCCCAATCAGTACAGCGCTTCGTGGCCCGTAGGAAGCTCCACCGAAGGCCCCAATGGCAAAGTTCGCATGCGTCTCCCCCACCCATTACAGCGTTTCGTGGCCCATAAGGAGCTCCACCGAATATGATACCCTTGACAACTGCACATGGTTGGGTCTTTCGCCAGGCTAATTGTTTTCAGACGTCGGTCCAGGCCTCCAAAACGGGACCAGAGTAGTTGGGGTCGGATAGTCGTTCGCAAACGCCGATCCGGCGATGCCACGCGATCTGCAGCCTGTTTTTCTCCATGCCGCCGTCGCCGATGCATCGACGATGCTGCGACTCTCCCACCCCATTCGCTGTGGCCCCACTTGGGGTCCTCGAACCTCGGATGCTCGGGATCTACGGCCCTCCGAGGGCGGCGGCGGGCGCGACTACGGCAGCCGCTACAAGGGCGGCGGGAACCGGAAGGGCGGCGGCAAGGGCGGCGGAGGCAGCGCACTGGCGGGCCCAAGCACCAACGGCCTCGCCGCCGCCGCTGCCGACCGCCTCGCCGACGCCGGCGGCGCTGACGCCGACGCCGGCGGCGCTGACGCCGCCGCCGATCGCCGCGCCGACGCTGACGCCGCCGCCGGCGACGGGGGCCCAAGCCCAGGGATCCTGGGCGGGGGCCCGAGGATTCCGAACATTGCTCCGAGACGTCCCAGACTTTGCTCTTGACCGTCTGTGCAGGTCCTCTGCCCAGGCGCAAGGCTCTCGCTCCCAAGCGCCCGATTACTCTGCGGGGGCGTGCGGCGCAGATCGTAATGCCCGTCGGAGCCTGCCAAGTTCTCAAGGGAGGGGGCACCGACTCCCCAGCAGGATGGGAAGAACGTCTCGCGCGGGGGGGTATTCCAAAGCTGCGACTCGTCCGGCCAACACGTGCCGAGATCTAACTTGCTGGAGTAGCCTCGTTGTTAACAGAACAGTCCAGTAAGATGCCGACAGACAGAAAATCAAGTTCGATCGAGGGCGTCTGGCTTTGTGGAATTATCTTGATCGAGTGTTGCACGGTACCAGTTCGACGCTGCCCATAGACCTCGTATGACAAATTATTTTCAAATCGTCCTCTTCGGCAAACGGCACCCTGACTCAAAGCCCCCTCGAATTTCTTGACGCTTCGCGAGCATAGCTCCACCAGTCCATCCGTAAACGTTGCCCATGTGCTGTTGAAGGACTGGCATCGGGGGTATTGCACAACATTGATTGCTCCAAATCGATTGGTTCACATAGGTTGCACCACAACGATCGCACCACATAGAGTGCACAACATTGATTGTACACCATGTATTGCACAAAGTAGATTGCACTACATACATTGCACCACACAGGTTTGCCCACAAGTATTGCGCAACGTATACGGCACGACGTAGATCGCACCACTCTCACTGCGCAAGATAGGTTGCACAACATAGATTGCGCAACATAGACTGCACAGCATATATAGAGAGCTTTTCGTAGACTGCACAGCACATACAGCTAGAAGCACACTGCTTGGTTTCTACGCTGGCTAACATATCTTTGCTTTTGGTGTGGAGCACCGTGGTGAGTTCGTCAGGGGCTCCGTTCGTGGGCTCGTCGTATGCACGTGGGGTGCGGTCAGAATCATCTGCTCAGAGGGCAGCGATACACTCGTCCTCGCGAGCAAACGCGACTGTCTGTTCAGTGGCGCGTGGTCCATTGTCGGAGGAACCGTGGTCGTCACGAGGAGGCCCTTGCCCACGGTTGCCGCGGCGAGTGGGAGGAAGAAATAGGCGTCACTTAGTTTCGCTCCCGAGAGCGAGCCCAGCCTCATCAAGGGAAGTTTGGACAGGACTGGGGGGGGGGATGCCTCGGATGGCTGCGCCCAGGTCGCGGGGGCCCTCGTCGAGCCAAGGCTTGGGAGAGACAGAGGGAGAGGAAGATCAACCACGCTGTCCCGATCTCTTGCCTTCTGGGATCGGGCCTCTGGCTTCGCGTCGGGCAGGATTCGGGGCGTGGGCTGCGGTTGTGTACCCATCCCTCCTCCCTTCTTCTGCTGTCCATTGCCGTGTATGGCTTGATGTATATCTGGCTGAGGATTATTGTCATTCACTCCTGGAAGAGTAAGAGTAAGGCCATCGGTCACATCCTGCGGACCACTTGGGGGTCAGGCTCATTGGCCCAACCTCCCTGCACACATGAACGGCGCACGCGTGCAAGTGTAGAGGACACGTAGAGAACCTGGGAGGACCAAATAGTGGAACCGGGCATAGAACGGCCCCTGTCTTGACAACGCCGTGCTATCAAAGGACACTTGGTCCAATGCCACGTCGTTGCAAATTCGGCGCATTCTAGTTACACAGGAGGAGCAGCAGGAGGAGAGGGAGCATGAGCAGCAGCAGCAGCCCGTAATTATCCATTTGGGCCGAATCTTAGCAGCGGTGGCATCCGCCTCGCGTGTGCGTAACCACGCACGCTTGCGCGCGCGCGAGTTCGGCCCGCCAGACACACGGTACACGAGGCGCGGCGGCCCAGAAATGCCCAAGGAACAGAGAGTTGCGGCAACCGAGCCGGCGCAGGAGATGACCGACGCGCCCGCAGCTGCGCTGAAGTTGCGCGAGGGTTTCGCCTGGCAGTGCCGGCTCGTCAAGGCCCTGCAGGGGTACGCCGAGAAGGCCGCCGATGCGTTCGAGGCTCTAGCGTTCGTGCACGAAGTGCAGCGGCGCCCAAAAAGGAGGGCATGGTGTTCGGGGGGGGGCAGCCATCTAGGAAGCTGCCTTCTGAGAGCCCTGCCGGTGGGCCTCCAGAAGGGGGCCTCGCCCCCTTCTCAGAGGCTCCTGGGAAGGATTCTCGGAGTGCCATGCGGGGCGCCTTCTTGGAGGGCTGGCCCCCTCGCCCGCCGGGAGGTGCTGGACGAGGGCGGCATCGCCAAGGTCCTCGACGCCGCCCCGCTGGCGCATGACCTGCTGCGCGGCTTCCGCGAGGCGGGCGCCGCCGCCCGCGGCGCCGCGGGAGCCTCGCGCGAGCTGCTGGAGACCCACAGGGCGTCGCTGGACGCCTGCGCGGGGCTGCTTCGCGAGGCGGACGCGGCCGACGCAGCGCTGAAGGCAGCCAGCGCTGGGGGCCCCGCGGTGCTTGCAAGGAACAGCGAGAAGGTGCAGAAGGCCACGACTCGCGCAGCCATGGCCAGGGACAGCGCCAACAACGCTCTGCAGGCGTGCGCAGGGCGGAAGCGGAATCTCTGCCAGCTTGCAGTGGGGTCGGTCGCCGCAGTGGCAAAGGCGGTGCGGTACGCTGCGGCCGCGGTATCCACGGAGTCCACGCCGTCCAAGCTCTGTTCGAAGCAGAGCACGAAGCGACTCATCTCTCGGCAGCCCTCGGACAACTTGACGGCTCCTTCGCGGCAGCACCTGGGCGTTTCACAGATTGCGGACCAGGGACCAGGTCGTGACACTGGCAGCGGCATCGGGCAGAGCATCAGCCCAGCGGCGCCCGACCAGTTCTGCGAGGAGGGCGGCCGAGATCGCCGTGACACAGAGGCTGGGGGCGGAAGCCCACCGGCGCTGAGCCTGATCGAACTCGACCTGGACCTCCTGTCAAATGAGGGGCCCGCGCAGTGCAAAGTGTCAAGGAGCTACAGCGATTTCTCCAGCTCGACCGCCACGGGAGGGGCCTTCTCCCTCACCAGGCTGCGGGGCTACTCGTCCGAGAACTCCTGGGGGAGCACCTGCTGGAGCAGCGGTGGGTTGCTTGCCGCGCTCGCCCCGAGCAAGGACAGGGCCCTCCGCTCGTGACGCGCAGCCTCGGCCGCGCAGCGGCCTGATGCCCCGGGCGAGCGCCGTGAGCGCGCTCGCGGGCCACACGTCGGGGGAGTGGGGCGCATCAAGCCGCCTCACGCCTGTGCCTGCACTGTCTTGACGTAGTGCCTCGTACCGCCATCGCCTCAGGCCGCGTATTTTTTAACACAAATGCTCATACGATCGCGGCGACGTGCCGCCTAATACACCAATGCTCAAGCCACCCGCCCAGAGTGTCAGATGTCAGATATGAGATGGTGCATATTGAAGGCGCCTACGGCAAACCATCGCCGCCCACTGCCCTTTGGGAACGCCGATGTGGCCACACACGCGCTGAGCCAAGGTCGGGCCAAGCTATTCGACGATATATTCCCTAGGCGTTGTGGAGACCCGAAGAGGAGAGGGAGGAGAAGGAGCGGAATGAGGAGGCATCTTAGGGCCCTCCTGGGTCCTCCTTGGGGCCTCTTGGAGACATCTGCGGGCCTCTGGGGGTCTCTTGGGGGCCTCTTGGATAGTTTTAGGGCTCTTTTGAACCTTCTGACGCCTTCGAAGGCCGTCTTAGGGGGCCTCTCTGGGCCGTCCTGGTACCCTGTTAGGGTGCTTTCAGGCCGTCTTGGAGGTCTCTTTGGGGCACGTTGGGGGTCTTGGGGTCCTGTTGGAGGTCTCTTGGGCTGTCTTGGGGCTATCTAGGAACCTCTAGGGCCGCCTTGAGCTGTCGAGCGCATGAAATGGGGAGAACGCGAACTTGTGTCAAAATCTGGAGGTGATAACTATTTGGGCCTCTTCGGGCTCTCCTGGAAGGCCTCTTGGAGCCCTCTGGGCCGTATCGGGCGCCGTCTTGAGACCATGTGTGACTGTCTTGGAGCGCCGTGTTGAGGCCATGTTGGGGCCATCTCGTACTCTGCTGGGGCCATCTTGCCCGTCTTGGGGGCGTCTGGGGACCCTCTTGGAAGGCATCTTGGCACATCTTCGCCGTCTTGGATCTTGGACGGAACAACATCAGAGAATCGATGGATTCGGTTTGTGTTCGGGATTCGGTTTTTTGCTACGTATGGGGCCAACGGGACCAGGCGGACAGCGACGACGACGACGACGACGACGACGACGAGGGCGACGAAGACGAGGGGGGGAGGAAGAAAACGACGACGAGGGGGCGGAGGGACAGCACCCCCATCCGTCCTATCGGCCCAAGCCAAGAGCAAGGGCAGAAGAAAGGAACGCATCGGAGTCACATTCGAACAATATTGACACAATCGTGGGGTCGTCAACTAGGGTTTAAAAGGGATCATCTTGGGGCAATCTCGAAGTCGTCTTGGGCTCATGGGGTCGTCCCGGGGCCACCTAACATCGGGGTCACGCGGTACCCTGAGTTCAGTCGGAAGGCAGTGGGTTCGTCCCAGTGTTCTTTTGGGGCCGCAGCAGGGTCGCTCTGGGGCCATGTTGGAGCCATTGCTTAGCAGGGGTGGGTATCTTGGGGCGACAGGGGTAATCTCGTGATCCTTTCAAAACCCTGTTGGGTCCATCTTGGAATCATCTTTCCGTTGCTGCCTCTCTCGTTGTTGTTGCTACTGATGTTGCTGTTATTGCTGGCGTCGATGCTGCTGGTGTTGCCTGGGCTGCCCGTGATGCTGGTGCTGGTGCTGTGTAAGATTCCGGGCCCTCTTGGAGCCATCTTGGGGGCCTCCTCCTGGGCCTCTTGAGGCCCTGCGGGAGCCCTCCGACGGCCCCTGATAGGATTCCGAGAGGGCCAAGAATTCAACACACATTTAACACAAACCGCCTCTTTATTGGAGAGCGTCTTGTGTTAAATTTGTGTTGAAAAATTGGGTCCTCTTGGAGCCATATTGGGGCCCTCTTGGGGCCCTCGCCCTCTTGGAGCCCTCTGAGGGCCCATAAGGGGCCTCCAAGAGGGCAGATATTTCAACGCAAATGTAAGACTAACCGCTTCTTTATTGGAGAGCGTATCGTGTCAAGTTTGTATTAAATTCCGGGCCCTCTCAGAAGAACCCCAATAAAGGCCCAAGAGAGATTCAATAAGGCCCAAGCAGAGGGCTGTTTTAGCTTCATCGCGGGGGGTCACCATGTATCCGCTCTTTGTAAAACTGTTTCCTCTTGCGGGGCTCGGCTTGAGGTTCGGGGGGCCTTCAGGAGGGTTCCAGCCTGAGGTATCCAAAGACTTCGCGTGAGCTTCAAGTGCGATTGCGTTGCTCCAAGACGTCTCTGAGACGGCCCCAGAGCGCTCCAACACGCTCGCAATGGCTTCAAGACGGCCAAAGAGACCTTGCAGACGCCCCCGGGGAGCCCCAAGAGGACCCCCCAGGGGCCTCAAGAGGCCCAAACCACAGTTGTTCAATTGTTTTTGAAGGATTTTAGCGTTCTCGCTTTTTCGTGGTTCCATCGTTGCAAGGAGGCCTAAGAGGCCACCAGGATCGGCCCAAGACGGCCCAAGAGGCCCCCGAAGACGGCCCCAAGACGACCCACGAGGGCACCAAGACGA